ATCTTAATAAATAATCTACTATTCATTAATATAGGCACTTCTGTGAATTTTCTTATCCGAAAGGTAGAAATATTAACCCCCAAAATTAAGAAATACAATTCTGAAGAAGCAGCTTGCCAGTTTGGGCCACACCTTTCTTTACTGGATATTAACATAACCATTTCAGTAACTCAATGAAGACCATGAGATATGCATCAACCATAAGCATAAATGGCATGGATACAATTTTAAGCAAATTTGATTTTCAGAATGTGATTAAGATAATGGTAGCACTCTGATCCTACCTGGGTCTCAAGGCAAGCATGAATATCTATAAGAATTCCCATGTTTTGTCCCGGAGAACACTTTGGGCCAAAGATACAGTGAGCTGTCAATCACCCGTGGGCAGAGAAGCCAGGAGTCCTGCTCTAGGCAGATCCGCCCTGAGCAATCCCAGAATCCCTCACTGCACTGGCTGCTCAGAGGTGAGAACTACATTCACAGGGAGAAGTAAACAGGCTGCTTGCAAAGAAAGGAAAAGGAAAAAGGCGCCTGCAGGCTGGCGGCGGATTCTTTGGTTTAAATTTCACACATGATTCTGTGTATTCTTCCAGGCAGAGGAATCCTGTGTTGATTATCCTAAGAGAATCAGAATTGGCAAGAGTTATGCTTATATGACACTAAACTTATGGGTAAAGTAAATAATAGCAGAAGGGGAAAGAAAGAATATATAATATTTGTTCGCTGCCTACTATGTCCTTTAAAGTAGATACTATCATGCCCGTTTTTCCACATTCAGAAGTTGAAACTGAACATGTGCAACTATATAACCAAGGTCACAGAGTTATAAAGTAGAAGTCCTGGCTAAGGCCATGTGGTAAAACTGTCTTCGCTGTTTCAATGCCTCCCATGCTCATAAAAGTCTCCATGTACCTACTACAGTGATTGCTACAGCGATTCACCAGAGTGCTGGGTCCATGAGATGTTATTAGACACCACACAGAAAAACAACCTCCTGGTCAAAAATGATTAAGGAACACCGAATGAAATGAAGTAAAATAAGTTTCTTTACAGCACTACTCAGCAGGATACTTAATGTGTTAATGTTCATTCTGACTTCCCAAGAAGAAGAGACACTATGCAGCATTTCTCATATTTGGTCAAGAATAAAACTATTATAATTTTACTTGTTTCTTCCTTTGTAGAACATTGCATAGGACAAATACTTGAGGGGTGCTCACAAGGGAAGAGAGTCCTCCCAGGACAAGTTCCAGCAGGTCCCAGAAAACTGGGATTCCCACTGTGGGTTTGTTTATGCCATTGGAGAGCCACTGGAACTCCAACTTCCATCAGATGATCAGCACAGCTGGCCAAGCCAATGAAGAAACCCACACTTTACAGACACCAGGTGAAGGCAAACACATGGGCGACAGAGAGACTCTTTCGTGGGAGAAAATAGAGAGGCAACGTGAGGCAGGAAACAGGAGAAAGACATAAAGAGAATGCTTAGCAGGGAAAACATTCTTAGAGGACAGGAACTGTTCCCTAGAAGACAGGTTCACTGGCACCCCTGGTGCCACCCACAGTGTTTTTTACAGAGTAGGCCTTCAGTGAGTATTTGGTGAAAGAGTACTTGGCACACATGCCTCTTCATTGCTTAATCTGAGAAACAATTCTTTCTTGTAAGTAATCCTTCAAGTGTTTCAGGAACTGTAGCTCCTGACAGACCACTGGATCAGACCAGACTGCACTTACATAAAAACCATTGAGGGAAATGAATTTATCACTGAAACAAACAAACAAATGAACAAAGAGCCCACCTGAGTTCCTAATCTAAAAGAGATCCAGCTAAAGGCATAGAAAAAATAAATACTAGTATATGATGCTGTCCCTTCGCACATGGAAGGCAGTGCTTGCACTTCAAATGAAAAGCATGTAGACCATCCCTTATTGGAGCTCAGAAAGATCAGAATATAACATTGTTCTCTGCTCTTTTAATAACAATGATAAATCTCTTCTGTAACAAATACAAATGTTGAGAGAAAAAGTATTTCAAAAAGAAGAAAGAGAGCCTTAATTATTCTAAGTTGGCATTCGCACAGAGTCTGAATTAATCCCCTCCCCCCTTCCCCCAAAACTCAATCCTCCATGAGTTAACGATGTAAAATATATATTGTGAGAGTATTTTATAGTGAAAGATGTTCAAGTGATTAATGAATGAACTTCTCAATGAATTACTGAAGGAAGATCATAAAGCCAAATTTGGGAGGAAAGATAAAGGCAGAAACACTTTTTAGGTCTTTGCATGTCTTTCATTTATTCATTAAGCATCGTTTAAGAGCCTCCTACCTGGGAGGTATTGCGTAAGACACTGAGATAGAGCACACACCAGCCATATGCATCCCCTCCCCTACAAAGGCATACATTCTAGAGGATGAACAGTCAAAAGGCAAGAAACAGGTCAAAATGTAGTCTCCACTGTGGAAGAGACAGGGTTGAGAAGAGAAAGCAAGATGCAGTGGTACCAGGGGAAGGACATTCCAAGCCAATCTTGCTAAATGGGGAACAAGCTCGGCCTGTTGACCTGGGGTGTCGGGAAAGGCAGGCTGTGCACAGCCTTGGTTGGTGGTCTGGATTTAGTCTATGTGCACGTGGAAGCCGTGGGGCATGTCAGGCAGTGGAGAGTAGAGGAATATGACAGAACCCGAGTTCTCTTTTAGAAAGATCACTCAAAATGCTGTGTAGAAAAAAAAATCAATCAAAGCAAGGATGAAAGCTTAAGACCACTGGGGATGCCTTTACCTGAGACTCATTGGAGATTCAAAACAGGCCTGGACTCCAGCGGTGGCAGTAGAGGTGCGGAGAATACAAGATGCATGTCTGAGGCAGGAGCGACAGGACTCACTGATGGGTGCAGGGCAAAGAAGAGAGGGTGAGCAAAGAGGTTTCCAGGGCTCTGGCTTGAGAAGGTGGGTGGAGAGTGATGTAATTTAGGAGATCAGGGGAAGGGGGAAGTGTCACATGGCTCAAGAGACCTTTCCTTCTTGAACTTACAGATTTCCGAGAAGCAACTTAAGCACTTCCCTAACCTGGTATAGGAATAGATTCGAGGCTTTTATGAATCTCCTGAAATTGTTTGCAAAATTGGATCTGAGTATGTGTATACTGTTCTCCTTTGGTCTTCTGCTTGCAGAAAAATTCTTAGTCTCCTGATTCCAATTAAGATAAGAATCACTGATTTAAATTAACAGAATTATTTGAAATTAGTCCCCAAGAGAATGATTAAACACTAGCTCGCACTTTTATTCACTTTTGCTTAGAATCTAATAAACCCTCTCGTGAAGAGGGAGAGAAAATTTTACTCCGTGTCTGAGCAATGTGTTCATGAGGATGAACCCTCCATAAAAGACAAACTAAGTTTTGGGTTTTTTTAATGGCATAACACTAAAATCATTTTAATCTTATTCAGCAGTGAACAATTTAAGACTTGTCTCCTTCTTTTGTTGGAGACAAAAGACAGCTGGACACATAAAGATGATTGTGTGATCCATTCAAAATTAAAGAATAGGCTAAATCACTTACAACAATAAAAATGCAGAAAATCCTACCAGAAAAAAAAAGTGAAAACTCTAAGATTCAAATGATTTCCATATGTTTCCAAAATAGGAAGCAAAAGACATTGTCATGTCACTCTGGTAGCTTCCAGAATAGAAAAAGTTAATCAGGCAGTCTTTAAAAACAAAGAAGGAATTCATTTAAAAAATTAATTTAAAAAACCCAGAAACTTCAGCAATGAACTAGATTGCCACAGTGTCAAGAAAGCAGGCTTTGTCAAGGCAATAATTTGTATGCAAATATAGCTCAGTATTCATCACTAAATCTCCAAAGCCTGTAAAAGAAAAAGTTTGTTCCTTCCATCTGCCAGAAGAGGCTCTGACATCTTTAAAACAACAATAATTTTAAAAATACATTCACAAATATAGGGGTTCAAACCAGAAACTCCTTCTAAGCCACTTTTTCCCCGCAAATCTCTTAGCCTTGTGTCTTTGTTAACACTGGGTTAATATTTACACATACCTCACTGGGTTGTATGAGGGTTTTGTTTTTGTTTTTTTTTAATAATAGCATCTTTCATACCATAAAGTAAAGCTGAACAAATGGTTGCTTTTTAAAATAGTCAATAGAAGTGAATTCTTTAAAGGCCTCCCTCTGTCCAGCATGCCAGTCTTGGCAACCACAATGGGGATATGTGATGTGAACACTCACCCACTAACTCCAGTGTCATCATTTACAACCTAGAACCTCACTCATTCCTCATTTAAAATTCCACCTATTTTTCCACATTCCACTGACCTACCCACCTCCATTCCCTCACATTTTCTCTGTCTGTATTTTTCTTCCTCATCAAA